GGTGTTTAGCTTGGCTCAGAAATAGCCAAGGTGTTAATCTGTCTAAACTATCACAGAGGTAGTTGCTGCATTTGATGTCATAATTGTGGCTGTCTTTCTGTCAACATTTTTGTGTTGGGAGCGAAGCAGCCAGACCAGATTTTAGGCAGCAACAACATGGATTACATTTGTCAGGGGTGTGTTTTATCTCTTTAAGATATCGCTTCCAAACACACCAGGAGCCGGTGACCTCACACCAGTAGCGGAGCAGATATCAGGGCTTCTAGTTTGGAAATATTTCAGTGGGAACAGAATAGCTGGAGGAGGAAGGATAAACTTCAACAGTGTTATTCTTTAAGGTCAGTGCCATCGATACTCTCAGTTTCATCCACCTGTCACATCCTCTTCGTCTGTTTGTCCAGGGAGAGTTGAGTGAGCACAGTGCAGTTTTCAAGCACCACCCTGTTTTTCATTCATGCAGTATCACACCTTCAGTCCCTGGCAAGCTGCACCGGAGATGGAAACAGTTACGTGGCTTGCTCAGGGGCATCAGGGCAGAAGCAGGGCTGGTTCATCTTAATCCCCCTATTTTTCTTCTTTTTTTTAGATATTAAATGTGACATGGTGACGAACCTGATATTCCACCTTCACTCATACCTATTCAACATTGTGATGCAGCTCTTACTCACCTTCTTTTTATAACACATACACACACACACACACACACACACACACACACACACACACACACACACACACACACATATCCCAGCCAATAGCTCCCTCTGATAGGTTCTGGGTGTTGCTTATGTCTTGCCCATGCCATACTGCCACATCTTATGTAAGTGACAAATTGTGTGGTTTATACACATTTAAATTAATTAGCTGATTAGCGCATCAGAAAAACCGAGTTGAGTGGCTTCTTTGGGGTATTGAAAAGATGTACCCAACCCCAAAAGGAGGTGTTGTTATTGTTATTTGTTATACAAATACAAGTGTTTTTACAGTGGAGCTCAGTGGAATACATGGCTGAGGTATGGTAGGAGTAAGAATAAAGAAACTGCATTGGACTGGTGTCAGAAATTTGGCTAATATTACAAATACAAATGTGGATATCCATCTTCCCTGACACCTGTCAAAGCCACGCTGGCAACCGCTGTCCACCATAAAGGTGTGGATTCATGGAAGAGGGTGTGTGTGTGTTACTGAGATTAAACAGCAGTGTTGGTAATTTCAGGTTTAGCCAGGTCACTTGTATTGTTCAAAACTTCTCCTAGGCAACACTATTTTTATTTCATCACGTTGTTCAGCAAAATACAAACCATGTGACACTGAGTGGCTGGACACAGAAATCAGAGATGTCTTCTTCACTGAGCTCTTTGACTTAACTTTATATTCGTATATCAGGACGCTTGGCTGTATATTACCGCTTATATAATATCTACACTGCCTGCTGCACAGTGCAGATGAAGTGGGTTCAGAGGAACACAGTACATATCTCAACATTCACACTTTTGTTGAACTTGAAAAAATGCTGACATCTCATACTTTAGTCATTATTTTTGTGTAATAAAAACATCACATTTATACAATCTGACAAGCTCTGAAGAAGTGAAGAAGCAGCTGAGACTTTGACCTGAACTGACCTGAAGAAAAAAAAGATAGTCAATAGCTAACACATAACAAATCTAAACACTGACCTTCAAAGTGGATTGAACTGTGCAGAGTAACTCCCTGAGCCTCTGTCGGCAGTCTAACAAACAGACTGAATCTTATTCTTATCAGTGCTTATTGATGGTTTGAGAACCAGAAATTAATGTTACAATTAAAGTGATCAAATTTGATATATGTATTTATTTTTTGTTAAAGCTGCTTTTGTTTGTTCTTTTAAATTAAACCTTTCCCCTCTTTTTGCATAAAATTACAATAATAATGTACTTTAGTTATGTCTGGGAGGTTTAGTAGAGTCCCTTTAAACACATATTTCACATAAATGTACTGTCTGTACAATAATACAGATAATCAGCTGTATAAATGTCCTGCTCTGGCCCCGTGCTACGACTCTGTAGTTTCTGTTCTGTGTGTGCCAACAGATGTTCTCTTTTTGGCTTTGGTGGGTCGCAAAATTGAAGCGAATGAGGCAATGGAATAAACTTTAACATCTGCATTTAACCACCATCATTAACAGGCAATAGTAAAGCTGTGTTAGAGAGAGGCACACGCACATTCCAGTGGACAAGAAACTAGAAGCAGAAGAGCGATTGAGAGAAAGTTGAGGGTGTAGGAGATGAAATCTGCTGCAGAAGAAAGAAAACATTAACATGCTGAAGAGCTGCAACTGGCTGAACAGTAAACTGCTGATGGCTAAAGAGGAGAGAAGCAAATGGACCACTGCTATTTGGTGAGACAATTTTAATCTTGTTGAGACTTGCATATAAAGTTGTTATTTTGCTGATGCTGTTAGCTGGTGCAGTGCTTACCAGGCTCATCATCTTAATTTTACTGGGTTTTAATCATAAACCAAAACATTGGACAAATTGAAATTTTGACCTGATGATGGAGCTCGATGAAAAGTTCAGGGAAGTTATCACTGAAGTCACCTGAATTTATCCTCTGGGGACCTTGAATGTGTGAAGCTAATTTCACAGTAATCCACCCCCATGTGTTGATAAGTCAACACCGTGATGGTGCTAGAAGATATCAGCAACCACAAAAAGTAAGTCGCATTCATTCCAATGGAATAATGAATGTCTGTATCAGATTTTATGGCAATCTATTCAATAGTTATATATATAAATATTTCAATGCCATTCATAAAGCCACACTACTAGTGCAGCTGACAATCTAAGAAGTGCATCCAACATATTCAAAGCAGTGAAAAAGTCTGACCAAATAAGAAAAAGAAACCAAGACCACCAGTCAACAAACCCACATGGATCTTGACTTGGAAGGGAGAATATCACCAACGCGTGATACAGCGTGTTATCTGCATGTGTCACTTGTTCTTGATGTAAGTATGAGTGCTAATCAAAATCAGGCAGGGCAGCTGACAGGTAGATGAGTGATGGCAGGAGGATATAATCCAGTCTGTGTGGATACACTCAAACAGAACAAGCATAGCAGTGACAGCGGTGCTGAAATATTTACCAGTTTTCCATCTCAAATGCTCTAATTGCTCCGTATCTGTCTGATGGAGAGTCAGAAGGAGAGATACAAATAAAGGCTGAGAGAGGAGACATGAAGAAAACAGGGAAAGAGCGAAATGCACTGTAAATAACATTAAAGTAAGAAAAGTATGTGATTGCCTATCTGATACATATTTACATATCATTCACTTTGCTTTTTTTCAAATATTTCAGTACAGCACTAGATTTGTAAGTTAATTCATCACAGTTCTTAGTATGCAGTAGAAACACAATCAGAAAATGCTGATTTCTCTTATACCACAGGTGGAAAGTAACTATTTACTCAAGTACTGTACCTAAGTACAATTTTGAGGTACTTTTACTTTACTTGAGTATTTCCTTTGTGTGTGACTTCATATGTCTACTCCTGTTTTTACTACTGGTACTACATGTGTAGACGATAAGAGTATTTAAATCAAAATGCAAAACACTCACAAGCACTAAAAATTGTCTATCAACCAAACATGCAGCCACAATTGATATCCACAGGCTAAAAGGCTAAGAGGCTAACAAGCTAACAAACACAGAGTCCTGTCAAACTCTTGTACATGAAAAAAATTACATTTTTGAGGAGGTCAGCAATGTTGCTTCAAGTATTCAAGTGGGAAACTATAAATCTATAATTCAAGTGGGAAAGCCTGCTGCTTAAAAATGAAAAACTGCAGGTTCTCAAATGTCCACTTGAGGCTTCAATAGCGAATCAATCCTCATAGATGCTCATGTTAAAATGTCAAACTTTACAGTAGAAAATAAACATGTTTACAGCCTGGTTTTGGTCTCTATAGCTAATTTCCTCCTTCATGACAACTGTTCGGGGGGTGAATTTACATAACTCACCTGCTTCAATCATATTAAGGCTTAAATCATGTATAATTGAGGGTGTGGCCGCTTTGAGTGACAGGTGGATGCCGTCACAGTTGGCTAACTGCTCCATGTCTAGCCGCTAGCTGTCTGCTCACCGTATCGGACAAATAATATGGCTTCCTGCGATTAACTGACTGACAGAACGTGAGGATATCTGTGCTCCTGTTTTTTGAGGTGAGTGAAATTCTAGTATTAGCATTAATTAACAGGTACCGGTATCTGCGCTGGCTTGTTAGCTTAGCTTGTTAACTAGCTAGTTAGCCAGTGAATGAATTAGCATTGAGTTAGATGCTTGTTAGCCTGTATGACCCAGCTGTGCTAACGCCGCCATTTTTGGGTTAGCCGGGGCGCTAGGTGGAATCAGGCACTGCCAAGATGGCATCAGCGGTGCAGCCAACTCCGGCGTTTAAAACCGCTCACAGACGCTACGTCCATCTTTATATACAGTTATTGCTACAAATAAATTTTACAGGGCCAGTGCTGAGGATCGGTCACTTTACAGTTCCCTCTTTGGGGATAAGGGGGCAATAAAATTATGCTCAAGGCCCCAAAAGGTCTTGAGCTGTCCCTGTCTGAGAGACAGAGAAGGGGCGGAGATTGAAGAGAGAGGGGGAAAGAGAGACATACGGAGGGACGGCGAGGGCGAGAAGGCGGAGAGTAGTGGCAGAGAGACGTACACACAGACACGGAGAGAGAGAGAGCGAGGGAGAGCGAGAGAGAGAGAGAGAGAGAGAGAGAGAGAGAGAGAGAGAGCGAGGGAGAGGGGGAACGAGGCAGAGCAGGCAGGGCTCCGGCAGTCGGTCGGTATGTAGCAGCAGCGGATTACAAAGAGGGAAAAACGCGCCTTGGATAGAAAATATCTCCAGCGGGATTAAAAATAAAACCAGCCGAGGATGAGACACACACCGTCCGCTTGAAGGAGAATCAAAAACACGCCGTTATTCCGCTTATTTATCACCGTTTTTTACGAAAATGGCGAACGACTCTCCGGCCAAAAGTCTGGTGGATATAGACCTGGCATCCCTGCGGGTGAGTGTGTGTCACACAGACATGTCCACGGTGCAATTTATCTTTTCATATGAAGAAATAAAAACGCAGCCATGTAGTAAAAAGTGCTGTTGTTGACACAGCCCTGCGGTAGCTTCTCTTTGTCTAATATCCGCTGGCATGGGAGGCCAGCAAACCGGGCGCAGCCGGCTCCTACATCGAACTAACCCGATTGTAAATTACTACAGGGAATCAATTAATCACGTCATGTTTGTTTGTTATGCTTTTTCTTTGAAAAAAAAAAAAAAAATACAGGATCCTGCTGGGATTTTCGAGTTGGTGGAAGTAGTCGGAAATGGCACCTATGGACAAGTCTACAAGGTTGGTGTCAGCCTCCATCTGTCTATGTGTGTGTGTGTGTGTGTATATGTGTGTGTGTGTTAAAGCTCCAACCGAGCGAACAAACAGGCGGAAACTGGAGCACAAACATGCATTTATGTATTTTTTCCCCTCTCACGGTCTCAGGAACACGTTTATTATAACCCGTCCCCTCCCCTCCTTCACTTGGGACCGGTGCGGTCTGGACTGGATTATCTCTCAGATAGCGTTTTGGCATCTCACCGCTTCTCATCCATTCATTATTTTTTATTTTACCGATGCAAACATCATCCCAGCTACACCTATCTTGGTCCCAAGGAGGTCCCACCTCCCTCTTCCTCCTCCCCCTCCTCCTCATCCTCTCATCCACACCCCAGTAAAATATTCCTTGCATACTGCACGCGTTGCTTTGCACTGATCAGTCCAACCCCATCCGTGCATGACAGGCTTTACCACGCTGACCGACTTGTGCGCCATTGGGTGGGCGGTGTTTCATTGCGCATTTGTGCACACCATTGCCCAGCAGGCCTTTTGCTGGAGTGGCTCTGTGCTGCATTTATGGGGATAGGCTCGTTTATCCCATCACACATACACATACAGTGGAAAAGGCATTTGATGGAGACCTGGTGCTTCTGCGGCCCAGATTACCGCCTCCATTGCCCCATCAGAGACAAGCAGCAAGCAGCGACATCATCCTGCTGTTGCCTGGTAGAAATGAGAGCAGAGGAAAGAGGAGGACCAAACCACAGCTGCTGGGTCTCTCCAGGCTTCTACTGATCTGTTTTACTTTGAAATCAATCATATGCAGCGCTCCTGTGAGGAAACGTGTGTTTTGTCGTTGTATGTGGCTGACTGACTGATCATGACTCTGTGTTTTTCTACTTTACCAAAGCTTTTGCATGTCTGAGCACTGGCGTCGCTGCAGGAAAATTTGGTTTGTTTGGAATTAATGTTAATGTCACGTGAGACAGAAGGTAGCCATGGGAAATATCCCCATGGTTATGACCTGTGAGCATTCACACCACTGGATAACCCTGCTTGCAGACATCTTGCGTACCACAAACTGCATGTCGGAGCTGGTTCCAACTGTGATTGACTCTCATTTGCTTGTGGCTGGAAAATAGTGCCTTTTTTTTTCTCTTCTGTGTTGTGTTGCAGCAGTGGGGGTTAGCCAATCCCAAACCCTTTTGGAACAGATCCAAGTGAAACTCAGCAAACACAGAACACCTTGACTTGCAGCTTGTGGTTCAAGGGTAAATCAACATGATTATTGCCATAGCCTACTTTTTTTCTAGGTTTAATTTAAACACAAATTGAGGTTTTCTAGCACTGAGCAGTGGTTGTTTGATAGAGTTGGTCAAGTGAGGGTTAAACAGTGAGCATTTACAGAATAAGGATTAAATTATGTCTTAATTATGGACATTCCTGGACATGTACAAGCTTTCAGTAAAATGAGATTAGCAGTTGGATGTTGATGTTATTTATGTATATATATATATATATGCCAACTTCCATATGATATTAGTGAAACAGAGCCAGAGGTGATTCCTTCACGTCTTGATGAGAACATATACTTGGAGACAAGTCAGTGTTGTAGAAAGCAGCAAGATCTGCATCCTCAGGCTTCCTTTCCACGACTGCTGCAGTCACTGAGTTTCTAAATGATGGTTTTAAAAGGGTCACATCAGCCTCCTAAATTTTTTATCTTGGCTTCTGACACACCGATTCTGACAAAATAAAGCTGATTAAAATATTAATGATCAGGTTATATGCACAAAATTACAGTCAGCACTGCTTGTGCTAGCAATATGCTGGAGTATATATGTGTTTGATTTAAAATTCATATACATGTTCCAGGTGTCCAGCGTCCCAAGGCCCTGATAGGAGGTCCATGCGGACCCTTGTACACATGTGCAGACAATATGCAGAGGGTACATTTTGAGCTTTACTCTTCTTGCTCTTGCTCTGCAGTTTGTAGGCCGAGGCTCATGGTAAACATAACCTAAAGTAACTAACACACAAGTATGCTGTCCTCCAGGAAATCATGAAGTATATATGAGGAGCCATTTTAGGCCTTTTAAGTGGAGTCTGAGGAAGCACAGCTGAAAGGGGGATCTTACTCACCTGAGCCGCTGCAACAAAATTAGGTCATAAGATGTTGACACTGAATCATCAGTGTTTGGACGTCACTCGGCTGTAAACTCATACATGGAGAGTAACTCTTTCTGTCACATGATGATCAGAGTTAATTCAGAATTAAACACACCTGAACTCTTGGTATCTAGGCTTATTTTCCATATGTACGATAGTGGTGTCGGTGTCCAGGGGACAGTCTGAAGGTCCGCTGTATCTTTGCCTCTGAGGATTACACAAGTGACCAGCAGCACTGAGCGATTCCACCGCTGAGACGAGTGTCACTTTGAATCAGATATTAGAGTCGTGGACATTAAGGCCGGCCCTGAGGCGAGCCTCTGTGAACGTCGGCTCAGCTGTTACCTCACACTGTGTACAAAGACACGTCCCTTTTATAATTAAGCACAGTGATGGCGGTTTGGGTGCGTTTGGTCTTTTTCTTTTTTCTTTTTTTTTTTGTGTGTTGGGAGAAAACAAAACCCCAAAAATCCCATTTTTATTTGATCTGAGTTTTTTTTTTTTTTTTTGTTTGCTTTATTTGTGTTTTTTTGTGGCTTGAGGGGGGGATGATGGCGGCTGTAAACGTTTCATTAAAGCAGGGGGACAAGTGGTTGTGGAAACGCTCAGATGCACTGGAACATAAATTAACCTTGACATTTTGAGTTTAGTTCCTCAGGATTCAGTGAATCATAACCACGTGTGCCATGCGAGTGAGTGTGGATGAACTTTTTTTTTTTTTCCCCCTTCCCTTGTCTGCAATGCCTGCCTTGCAAACAATCTGACTCAAAAATGTATGTGTGTATGTTTAGATCTGCACATGTGCACTTGATCAACACTTAGTGATTGGTTGGGCTAGCGAATAGCTGCAGTGTGCGACTGACTGAGGCTTGTTGCAGCTGTGTGCACTTACAACAGCTGTTGGAAAATGAAAAAGAAGGGAGGTTTGGGGATAGAGAGAGAGAGAGAGAGAGAGGTAGAGAGACATAGGAAAAAAAAGAGGAACCACAAAAGAGGGAGATGCACTCGCCCTTTAATCACCAAAGTGTTTTTGTGTAGTTGCTAAAAAAAAAAAAAGGATGCTGAAGAACCTGGATGCATTTCCACATTGTTTGGAGAAGTACATATTGGACCTTTAAATATGTCAAACATCAAACTGTTGTTCGCACACTGTAAAAAAAAAAAACTCCATCCTAAAAATAAACATGCTTCTGGCAATAGTTGGAATTTATCTAAATGAATCTCAATGTGTATTTTCCCTATGAAAAAGTTAATTAAGAAATATAATATCTACAATCTGGAAAATTGTGTTTGGTTCAATAACGAAGCAGGAAGTAAAAACATAACAAGGCAGTTAATTGAAGACACTAATCAAGAACACAACAACACAGAAGAAACATGAACATTACTGCAAGGAAAAAAAAAAACCCCTAAGCAAACGAACAACAAAATGAACCTAAACTTCATTAACAGCAACCAAGAGTGAAGAGGTCAGGGGTCACAGTGTTTCTGTTTCCATTAATCAGTGGGAGGTAGAGGGGGAAAATTAAATGAGAGGCAAAAGGAATTTTTAAAACTCTGGGGTGAGACCACACTCAGCATGTGGGGCTGGGAATCCCCCTCTCTGAGGAAATGGTTTAACCCATTTATGACTTGCTGAGCTTCTCTCCTTCAAACCACGGCTGTAATTGTTTCAGCCTCACTCAGACGGGCTGCGTTCAAGTTTACAAAATATCCAAACTGAGCAAACAAACCAAACTGTGATTTTTCTTATTCTTAATTCCTTAACTCGACGGAAGATGAAGTTTTGTTTGATGCCTTGCTTGTTGTGGGTGTTGGCAGAGAGCGAGTTGATGTTCATGAGGAAGCAGTGAAACGGCGGAAGTCATCAGGGCAGTGAGGAGAAGTTGGTGGCTTTGCTGTGATTGCTAGATTAGAAAACCACAGCCCTGTTCCTGTTGCTCTGTCATGTATCCACATGAAATGTCTCAGCAGTTTGGAAAATGACAAGTTGACACACTTTAAATTCTGCTGATGGCACGATAGGCGGCTTAGAAATGCAATGCAGATAATGATATTGTAGAGCTGGAGATAATTAGTGTGAATATCATCACTGTGTAAAGTCTCCATGCCCAAGAATACAGAATATTAGTACAAACTCTTTTGGGGTCAAACTAATAATTATTTCCATTAGCAATTAATCTGATGATTATTATTGTCTAGTGATAGTTAAATAAGACCCATCACTCTAAGGGTTAAGCTCGATATCATTGATTTGTCCGACCAACAATCCAATAACCCCAAAATCTTCAATTTACACATTTACATGAGTCAAAAAAGACTTGAATTATTAATTAAGAACATTGTTGATAATTTATTTTCCATCGATCAACCCTAACTCTTAACTAATACTTATGTACTGCTTACATGTACTAGCAAAATCCAAAGAAGCAAAAACAGTTTAAATCATGAGACACAAGACCTTTGCACTGAAATCCCACTGAAAGCTTTATCACTGTCTTCTAATGAATAATTAATTTAAAATAAATAGGGATAAAATCTGCAAAATGTTATCAAAGTAGGCAAATTTTCTTTAACTGTATTAGGACAACCCACCCTCAAGATCAGATGTGGAATATCTGCTCAGCTCTGATGCACTATATTGTAATGTTAGCTCCCTCACCTGGAGGATTTCTCTGAAGCCTTCCTGAAGTTTACCAGGGAAGCTCCAGTGTCCACTGTAGATGAAGGCTGCACGTCTGTGTTATTCTCTAATAACTGCCAATATGAATACTGCTGGTCCAAAACACACACAATTGTTTAGTTTTTTTGTTGACAGGAAGCCAGTGAAGAGATAGAAGAGTAGGTGTGAT